GGTAGTAAATGGTGGATCCAGAATTCAAAGTCAGACAGCATGGGGCCAATGCTCTAATTTTTCTCTGGTTCTGCCTTGGGAAGAGGGTAATGCTCTTTTTGCTCTGTTGCATTCTTGTTGCTGTTACAGTCTAGACCTGAACTTGGAGAGTTTAACTCTCTCTCCCATTCCTGGCTGATTGACCCTAGAGATCCAGGCAGTGGTCCTCCTCTGCTGAGATGATGTCCTGGAAGCACCTAGCACAACCGTCAGGCATGTGGCCGAGATTTAATATGTGTGAGTTTCCTCTTCCCGTCAAGGGCTCAATTTCTGATTAGCCAGTGCTGATTTTCAGTGGTGTGTAGTGCTATGGCTCCAGTTGACTTTTCTGCCATCTCAGATACCCAGACCCTTCTTCCAGGGCCCTCTGGAATCAAACAACTAAAAGGTTAGTACCTGACACAACCAGGGGCCCCAAGGATTCACTCCTGACCTGGGTCTGCTCTGATTGTTTGGGACCCAGAAGTACTGGTTGTTAAACATTTTGAGGATTGCTCTCTGATCCAGCCATTTCTGATGCCATCCAGAGCTCTTGGGACACATTCCCCACCTTGTCCTGTCACCATTTTGTCCTCCTGGAAAAGCCGTGGAGTCAGTTAATCATTCATTACTTGTTAACTGATATTGTTCTTGTTTATTTCATGTCGCAGGGTTCCAGGTCACACAGAAGGAGATGATGAATTCAGTGTAGGTTTTGGAGAAAAATCATTCTCTTTGGTTTAGAGGCACTTTCCAGAGGAAGCTGCAAAGTTTTTGCTGCTGCCTGCTGGTCTGGAGTCTAAGATGCTTTTGTTTCTGTCATCCCCAGCTGTGTCCATCGGCCCTGTGGGAAGCAGGGCAGCTGTGTGCCATTGCTGCTTGATCATGCGGATATGGTGAACTGTACCTCTGGTGGCCCAGGTCACATGAAGTGTGCTATTACCTGTCAAAGGGGGTTTGCCCTTCAGGCCAACAGTGGGAAATACCTCAGGCCTATACAGGTGAGTTGGAAACCCGTGGTCATCAAGACCAAGCTCCAGGGAAGGGAAGGGACTTATGCTCCCCTCCCTGGCTGAATGGGGGAAGGGCAGGTGTTTTTAAATCACTTGAAGGAAAGATAAGGACTCTAACAAGCAAGGAGAGCACAGCTTCACAGAAATGCAAGGTGCAGTTCCCATTAACTAGGGTGTCAGTTTCTCTCATGCAGACAGCAGGTAGGGACGCTTATCCCGTTCTCGTCCTCCTTTCCCTGTCAGAAATCACAGTCCCACTTTTGCCTTCAAGATGAGAATTTCACAGTTTACATTTTCCCACAATTTGTAAGCAAGATAGGTTGTAATCAGTTTGTCTGTGGCTCATAGTTTGACTCCCAGCCTTCTTTATATAAGAAGGCTGGAGAAAGAGTCTGATTTTCTTCCCTCTGTTACTGAGGTGGGGATTATATCATGATTCTAGCTTTTGCCTAATTTTCCACATTTCTCCAAGCTACCATAGCACCATTTCCAGCATTTGGAGGTAGTAGAATATATTAGTTAAGAGCATGGCTCAGGTGACAAACACGGAATGAAATTTTGGCTCCACTGTTTATTAGTTATATAATTTTAAGTAAAAACAAACAAAAGAAACTAGTCTCTTTAAGGGTTCTTCCATATTTGTGAAATAATGAGGACAGAAGTATTTATGTCATTGAGTCATAATGATGACTGATTGGAAATAATTGAAAAGCTTCTAGCTAAATGATAGGCACATAGCCCTCATTAAGCTGCCATTACTATGAGCATGATAATGTATTCTCAACTCAGAATTCTGTTTTCCATCTTTCCTTTAGAGAGCTTTCAATACTCTACAGAGGAACTTTAAACTTGAAATCAGCCCTTAGAAGACATGACCATCATATGAGACAGAGAAAGGATGCATTAGGGAAAAGATAATGGTGCTTGAGGAGAGAACCAGAAAGACATGGAATGATGAGGAAAGAATGGATGCATGACTGATAGTCAGGTATCATTGGTGCAAAAGATTGGAATTGCTTGTATTTTGTACCAATTGACTACTTAGCAGGTGGTAGATTCATGGAAGAATTTCACTTGCTTAGAGATGGTCTGAACTCAAAGACACAGTTGTTGGTTTCAGGTGGTTTAGGTTCTGCATAGAGAGAAACAGTTTTGATAGACCTGGAGACACCAGCTCCTTGGTCGATGGTGCTTTGGTCAGAAAGGCAGAGCTCTTGTCCCCTGTTCTTCACCCAGCTTAACTTACACTAGAGAAGAGAGAGAATGACAAAAAAAAAAAAAAAAAATAGGGACTGACTCCATTTGTGTGATAGGTAAAGAGAGGGAGAGAAGAAAAGACGGTGTTTGCAATGCATTACAATTAGGAGCACAGTCAAGACAAAATGGACAACACTTAATGAAGCCAGGAGAAAAACCAGGCAATATATGCAGAGTTCGAGACGGATTCTGTAAGCGATCGCTGTGGTTCGAGCCAGGCTTCCACACTGTGATAAGTGTGCAAGGGGCAGTCTGGGTGGGGAGGAGGAAGGTGGGAGCTCACCCTCTGCCAACCATGTGGTGGAGTTAGCAAAAGCTCTCCAGCTGACTGCTCCTGTCACCCGAGGCCAGCCCCACTAAGGAAATTATACAATCCCAGCTCGTGATCACAAGACAGTGGGGATATTTGCTTTTTGTTGACATAAGAACTGAAACTAAACAGAAAAATGTGTCTGGCTTTGACTTGGGTCCTTCTGGCAGGCAACAGGGAAACATTGGGAAGAGAGAGGCACAGCTGGCCAGGAGTGGGTGTCAGGGGTGACAGGTGCTTTCACCAGTCATTTTACCTTTGGCTTCACTGTCACTGTGGTCTCCTGGTGGGATGGCTGCTGAGCCGCAGAATGGGGCCGCAGAATCTCCCCACGCTCTCTTTGACCTGTGGTAACCCATTGGCTGGAGTGATGGCTGTGCTCTTTCCCAAACAAGCCATGAGCTTCCAGGTCTCTCAGTCCCAGCTCACTCTGTCCCCCTCACTCTGGACACGTTCTTCTCCCCTTTCCCTCGACAGCTGGGAAGTCCTGCTCATCCTTCACAAGCCAGGTCCTGTATCACCTACTCTGTGAACCTCCCTGCAGACACTGGCCTCCTGCTCGTGGAGGGACAGTCCCTCCTCCAGCCCCCATGGTGCTGTCTCACAGAGTGAGCACCTACATAAAATATGGCTGCCTCTTTTTACATTTTTATGTTTTCTTTCTTTTTGGTCCCTGTTCCCTACTTCTTTTGTTTTATCATTTCCATTCTTTGTATTGTATTCTCGCAAATCACTACAGAAAGAGTAGGCTATAATAAATAACAGTATATATCTCTTGCATTTTCCTTCCATATTTCCTTTCCTCCCTTCCTCTCTCTCTTTCTCCTTCTTTCCATTCTTCTCCCTTTGTTTTTCTGAGCCATTGTTTCAACCTATGATTTGCTCTTCTGGTAGATGATTAGCTCCTGGAGGGTGTCTTGTTTATCCAAACCTAGACAGAACTTGGCCCTTCTAGGTACTCAATAAATGTCTCTTCATTTATTTAGTGATGAGGAACTCCAGGGCTACCCCACAAAAATGACAGGCTCAGGGAAAGGGCTGGAATCTCTCCAATTTAACCAGAAGATTTGGAAGGTGCCTTGTATGCATTGATTCCCAGCTGTTCTTAGATACTGTGCACCATTCTCAGTGGAGGTAATTATGTTCAGGAGCATTATCAGTTGGTTTATCAGCCAGGCTCCCAGCAGGAAACAGATGACATGCTCCGAAGTGGGCAATTTGAGGGAATTTAATACAGGGACTACTTATGAAGGTGGAGGCAGGATACAGGGAAATTATAAGGAGTTGGTGCAGAATCCCAGGGTCAAGCGGTGACATCACCAGTAGGCCTGAAGAGTTGACTGCAAGGAGCAGGGAGCAGAACCCACAGGAAGAGAGTGTAGGAGAGGATGGAGAGGGCTACCAAGGGACGAAGCCAACTGGCATTACTGGAGTAGGAAGAATAAGCGTCCAGACCTCCCTTTCCCTCCTGGCTCTGCAATCTCCTGCCAGTGGGTCCTGGGTGCTAGGCCTGGGCACAACCAGAGGCATGAAACCCACAGGGGCACAGAGCATGGTGGAGAAGGGCATAGAATGGATCCAAGAGCACAAGGGAAGCAATCAAGAGTTGGCCTGGAAGAGTGTCTCCAATGATTCTCTTACACTAACAGGGATGGTCAGCAGCAGCCTACCTGGGTATTGAAGACCTATATCAAGCAAGTAGGGCCTAAGGAGGGAACAAGGCAAAATCATTTTACCTATTTTGAATGTTTGCACAAATAATCACCAGGATTCCTCCAAAGCCTGGAAACTACTTTGATAAGCTTTTTCATGTGAACTTGATGGAAAAAAATTCTCTGTTTGTAGAAGGAAATTCTGCTCACATGTTCCTCTGGGCACTGGGACCGGATTGTGAGCTGCATGCCCCTTGATTGTGGTGTTCCCCACCCATCTTTGGTGAACTATGCGACCTTTTCCTGCTCAGAGGGAACAGACTTTCTGAAACGCTGTTCAGTCTCCTGTGTCCCACCAGCCAAGCTTCAAGGTATTGTCAGCCAACCAAGAACTGAATGCAAGTTCTCTTCAGGCTCTCTCTCTTTGGGGGTACTTTAGGGATTTTTTTCTTCACCCCAGTACTCTCCTCATTTGTTCTGCTGTGCCATCCTCTTCTGATAACACCACCAAAGTGCCAAAGGGCAACACCATTTTTGTCCCAATGACATATGAGAATGCCCTGGCTCAGATCTCATGAATGAAAGACACGTAGACTTCCCTGTTTTTATTTGATTGTACGTCCTCTGGAATCAAGCTGACTCACAGTGGCCTGATCATATTAATAATCAAGAAACACTTTATCATGCAAATTTTTTTATTTAATATTTACAACCTTCCTATGAGCTAGGTGCTTTTAGTTCTATTTTATAGATGAGAACAGAGTTCTATGAGTTGTCCCTGGCTTACTGCTAGTAAGAGATGAAGATAGGGTAGAACCTGCTCTGACCCCACACCTTGCTCTTGACCTCTTCTCAGACTTTGGTGTGCCTCTCAGTGACCCAGGAGGCCCGTTACAAATGCTACTTCCTGAGCCTAATGCTGACAGAGCCTGATTTAGTAGGTCTGAGGTGGGTTTGTGATGCAACTGTGGGAAATTCATGGATTGCCTTCAGAAGAACAATGAATTACACTGAGGCATATGGTGTGGTGTTTAAGTACAGAACTCTGCATCCCAACTGCCCAAGTTCAAACCCTACATCTGCCCCTTATTAGCTTGGGCAAGATGCCTAAACTCAATTTCCTCATGTGCAAAATAAGAGATAATGATGGTATCTGTTGCAATGGGTTGTTTGAGGTGTGAAGTTTATATAAGTATTATAAAATGCTTTGGCATATAAAAAGCACTATAAATGTGTCATGCTTTCCATGACATGGTCACTACTACATTTTTATCATTTGTAGTTAGGAAGTGAGGTCATGATTTATTTAGTAGCCATTCTGTCATTCAGGGAATGAAAGGGAGGTCAGGGAATCGTTATCTGACCTCTGTTCTTTGTAAGAGATCCCAGTGGATACTCAGCGAGTAAAAAGAGATAGGATGAGCCCTGGACCTGAGATGCCAGAGAAGCTGCTCCACCAAGAATTATATGACTTCCTGAGAATGCTGACAGGTTGATAGGTTTTTGTTCTTTTTGGCTACACTTTGATTTCTGGACTCTGCTCTGAGCATCCTGTGCTTCTTTTTCCTGGGCTCAGGACTGAACCCGTGGTTGACCTGTCTTGAAGATGGGCTCTGGTCCCTCCCTGAAGCCTACTGCAAGTTGGAGTGTGACGCTCCTCCTGTTATCCCGAATGCCAGCTTACTCCTGCCTCCCTGCCTCCAGCACAACCATGACGTGGGCTCCGTCTGCAGATACGAATGCAAACCAGGCTACTATGCCGTGCCGAGTGCGGACAGTAAAGTCAGGAGGTGAGCTGGCTTGTTCTTGGGTCTTTGCGCTTCTCTCTACCTTCACGCTCTCATTTGTAAATCCCAGACCGTTGCTTTGGAAATAATATGAAGACCTTCTGGGCTGTCCATTGCTTGTTGTGTTGGTTTGTTTTTCTATACAATCTCTCTTCACCTGCACAGGTATATTCCACAGTCATGCAGGCAGGTTGACCAGGTGTGCTTTCTGGAAAGCTATTCCTTCCCATAGAAGATCCCACAGCCTCACTTAGGTGATTTTAATGGAATCTCTGCCCTAATTATCATTGTCCTTGAAAGTAAGTGTTGGGAGCTTCTCAGGTGTTGTCACCTGAATCCAACTGTGGGTGGAACATCCTCATCAGGTCGGTTGGGAGCTTATGGGATGATGGTTCTGGGAGAGACCGCCTGGGCTGGTCCTCAATCCAGACATTTATTACCTGTGTGATGCTGGGAAGGTTTCTTTCTCTGCTTCAGTCTTTCTCAGCTGTAAAGCAAGGATAGTAATAATAATATCGACCTGATAGGGCTTGGTGTGGGGACTAAATACATTAATCAATTAATAAAACATAAGGTTTGGTAAATTTATTTTTAACACATAAAACATATTAGCCATTAATGTTATTGTAGTCTCTCTGCTTTCTCCCTGCTGGACTTCCTGTATGTGCAACTCCTAGACCCAGAAGCCAGGGTGCATTTCTTCTGATCAGAAAGAACAAAAGGAAAGGCTTTGAAGAGAGTCATGCTGGGCTTCAGATCCCAGTCATCTCCTCTTTTTATCAGCTGAGTAACCTCAGGCAAGTTACTTAACTCTTTGGGTCTCAGTCTCCTTTGTAAGTTGAGGATAATGCCCACATCAGAGGGTTGAGTTGAAGATGAAATGAGATAATGCACATCCAACCCAGTGCCTGCCTTGTGCCAATTGCTCAATAAATGGCTTCAGCAAAAGAAGGTTTTTCTGAACAAACAAAATAAATAAAAACTTTCAGAAAAAGAAACTCCTTGTACTCAGTAAATAGTAGCTATTCTTTCCCTATCATAAATTATGTTAGTATAGGAGAAAATCCAGTTCATTTCTTACCCAGGACTTAGTTAAAAGTCTGACCATAGTAGGTTTTTTTTTAAAGATGGTTTTTGTTTTTGTTTTTGTTTTGAACTAATATGATCCCACCTATGGCATTACCAATGATGCCAAGACAGACAAACTTTGCTTATAAGCTAAAATTCTCTAAGGGGACAGAAGAATATCAGGAAACATGTGCCCTTCACCCCACCATCTTACTATGGGGTGGATTGAGTCTGGCTTTGCCCAGAGCCTTACACTACAGAGAAAGCCCAGGCTTCTATGTGGGAGGGTGGGGGGAGCAAGTCAGGTGAGAGCTAGGCTGATGAGAATATGAATAATACTGATGAAAAATTCATAAGAGGCAGCACTCCGGTTCAGTGGACTCTAGCAGGTATAGTCAACAGTTTTTGACAACCGAAAACACATTTGCATGTGATTTTCATAGGCTCTAGATCAATTTGCATAGGCACACATTGAAAGACAGTGAGGACCCAGGCCATCTTCAAGTGCGAATGGTATTACAACTCCTCTAGAGGAGGCTGTTTTCTGGCTTTTTCCCCTCTTGTTTCTTACCTCCCCTTATACAGACTTGCAACTGACTCAGGTGTCTGCAGAACAGCTCAGAGAAGAATAATTGAGGGGGAGAGCAAAGTCTCAGGACCAGGAAGAATTGAGGGCAGAGGGATGATTTCTAGCTCCCTCAGCCCACAGCTTGTGTTGGGAATGAGGCTTCCCTCCAGAACTGTGGGCTCTCTGCCTTCCCCTGCACCTCGGGCTCAGCCGGCTGCCCCAGCCATGGCAGGGGCACACAAAGGCCATTTGTTGGTACAACTTTTCTGGTTGAGAAACTGGAAGCTTGCAACATCGGCATCGGTTTTGGCATAAACATTTACATTCACAAACACCATGCTGAGGGAAGATTAAATTATTTACCACACTGGGTAAACTGATTTAAATTTTAGTTTACACCTGTTTACATAGCAGGCGGTGGATTGGTCATCAGAAGTTTGCAAGTTGGGCGTAAATCACTGTCACTTGCCACTTCTGTTTACCCAATGAACTATGTCAGCCTTGTTCCCCGCTTGGTGGAAAGAGCCCAGAGTTGTACAAACGGGGCTCTAAACTTCTTTCTAGGACATGCAAGCAGGAGGAGAAGAAATTGGGAAAAGCAGGCAGGGAGATCAATCCAGATAGAGTGGGCACATGCTAATTTTATGCAGTTCTGCGAGTAGTGGAAAAAACCCGCTTGATGGTCAGATTCGAAGCTTGTTGTTTGCATGACTCTGAACAACGGACTCAATATCCATGTGTCTCAATTTTTGCATCCATAATGGGAGGGGTAGTAATTTCTACCCAATAGTGTTGTTTTGAGGCTGAAAGGAGGTAAATGTTCTGGAAGCATTTTATCAACTATGACGTTCAATGTAAGTACCATGTATTGCTTTTTGTTCATTTCTTTTTAAAACAAGGAAACAGCTATGAAAATGTCAGCCAAGTACATTCCCTTCCTGCTCTTCTCACATCTGTTGAATGTTGTTTCAAGAGAAAAGGAAGACAAGTACTGGATCTGACTTTTCTCTTTGGATCAGCCCATTTAAGTTTTGTCCCATTCAGCTCAGAGGGGGCAGGGAAGGCATAGCTGCAATTGGCAAGTTCATCGCGTGCGTGCTCTCTGCTGGTCTGGGGAGGATCTAGGCTCCGACCTCAGGGAGCACACAGCCTCCGGGCTCCCTCTTTCCTGTGCTTTATTTTTCCTTGAAGCATAGCAGAGAAGGAGACAGCTACAGGAGAGGCACATTCACCTGGCCCCTGGATTCCTGGCCCCTTCTTCCCAGGATTTGAAGGTGGCACAGCCCACACTGAATCTAGTTCCTGGAGACAGGGAAAATGCAATGGCTTAGGCCTGGGTCAGGGACTCTGACCTTGAAGTCGTGGCTGGAGTCAGCATCACCCAAGTCCAGTGGATTCCCCAGAGGGAAATTCAGAAGGAGGGTAAATGGATGTTGCGGGAGCAAAAAATATCAATAAAACAAAAATAAATATCCATTATATAGTACAGCTATACAATATGGTACAGCCATACCATGAAATGGCCTGCTACCATCAAAGATGTTTGGAAGAATATTAAAGACATGGGAAAACATTCACAGTACAATGTTAGGTGGATAAAAGCAAGAAAGTAACTGTTATAAATGATAGAATCTCTATTTTTCATATTAAAAATATTTTTATCACTTTTATATTAGCTAGAAATGATTATGATAGTAGTAGTCATAATCTCTAGGCAGTAGGTTTATAAGGAGTATCTCTTCTTTTTCCGCTTATTTGTATTTGCTAAATTTTCTAGATTTTATAATGATATAAATGGATAAACAGTTTAAAAACTAAATAATGAAGTGAGCTAAGAGTAGCTTATAGCAATTTGTGGAGGCAGAGAGTAATAAAAGGAAAACTAGGCAGATCTTTCTAAGTAGGTGAACACAGGAGAGACCAGCACTCTAAGACGGCATGAAGAAAGGTATGTGACCTTTCCACCCTATGCCCAGATCCTTCTATGTTTTGAGGACCAGCACTGTCTTTATTCTCGAAGGCATCTCACACCGTTTTTCCTCCAGTCCTAACACCTCTTCCCAAACTTCCAGCATATCACCTCATTCCCCAAAGTGAAGGGTCTGCCCACAGGTGGGCAAGCTAATCTATGCCCCAAACATATACTCCCCTTTCCTGCTGTCAAAAATGAAGTTCACCACCTTTGCTCTGAACCCCATCTCCCTTCTTGGGGATTTCTCTCCACCCATTTACCTTCTTCTTTCTTACATCTGGGGCATCTCTCTTCCTCTTGCCTGTTACTTCTCTTTCATTATTCTCAGGTTTCTCCCACCTTACCACTCAAATAAGCAGAGCCTTTTCTTGATCCCATGCCCCTGCCCTCAGCTACCACTCCAGCTTTCTCTCTCCCTTTCACAATGAAACTTGTTGTAAGAGTTGTTTGTATTCACTCTCTCTAGCTTGCCATCTTTTCTCTCCTTCACACTTTGACATTCATGTTTTTACTCCTCTCTCTTCACTAGAGCTGTGCTTGCCATGGATCTTTCTGCTGCCAAATGCAGTGACTCTTCTTGGTCCTCAGGTTACTTGAGAATATTTGGTTTATATTGTGGTCACCATGAGAGATAGGATGGACCCTTCTACCCATAATTTGGTGTGGATGTTGAAACTAATGATACCACACATAGACCAAGAGACTCTGAAAAGGTTTATTACTCATATAATGAGGCCTTCTGGAAAGAGAAGGGGAAGACCCCAGGTTGACCTTCAAATGGCTGGAGAAAGCAGGGAAACGAGAGGGCCTGGGGTTTTATGGTGCTTAGGGAGTGGGGCTTGTGTCAGGGTTTCTGCACGTGAACAGAACCTGTGTGGTTTGAACTTTCTCCTGAGGCCAAAAGAGGAAGCATACAGCTTTCTCATAGGCTTGCTTAGATATGGGAGATGGTGGGGCTTGAAAGCTGTCAGCAAACATTAAAAATGGAGTCAGGCTCCTTATTATAGCATAGTTGGCTAAGCTCTGCTTGAAACTTCTTCCTTGATAATGTTCTTTTTCACTCCCTAATTTTCCTTCTTCTTCTCTGTCTCTTCTCAATTTTATTTTCTGGATTTCTCCCCTCTGCCCATTTCTTCAGTGTTGGTATTTCTCTGAGCTCACTTTTCTCTCTTATTCTGCACACTTGTCTGGGATGAAGCTCATTTACTCTGTAGCCTCATCCATCATTCACATGCCGATGCTTCCTAAATCCATACCTCCTACTCTAGTCTCTTCCCTTAGGGGCCATAAGGACCATTAGAACAACTGCCTGTGGATATAGCCACTTGGATATCCCATCTGCATTTTATACTCTTACTATATAAAACACATCAACTTCCATCGACTGTCATCTTA